CGTATGTACTTTCAACAGGACAGTTAATTAATGCCTTTTAATCCAATGAGGCCATTTGCAGAAATTTTAACTAAAAATTAACTAAGGCTACATCTTTTTTTTTTTTTTAACTAAAGCTACATCTTAATTACATTTTAGTTAAGGCCATTACAGGAATGTTTAAATCCTATAGTGAGACATAATTTAAAATAGCAAATATTCAACAACTAAACTGTGGAACATCTGTCTATGAGGTGGACTGCAACGCATCATATTAAGAATGATGTTGGGGGCGCCTGGGTGGCTCAGTTGGTTAAGCGACTGCCTTCAGCTCAGGTCATGATCCTGGAGTCCCAGCATCGAGTCCCGCATCGGGCTCCCTGCTCAGCAGGGAGTCTGCTTCTTCCTCTGACCCTCTTCCCTCTCGTGCTCTCTATCTCTCATTCTCTCCCTCTCAAATAAATAAATAAAACCTTTAAATAAATAAAAAGAATGATGTTGTTGAAAAATATATTTTTATATGGAAAAGTTCAGGCTAAAATCCAGTCTGCACAGACGATTGCTTTTTAAATTAGTGTGAATATCCGTACGCATACACATATATAGAAAAACGCTGCCACCTCACATGACGGTGAGGTCATGGGGAATTTGTTTCCTTCAGTCTGCTTAACTGTATTTCCAATGAACACATATTACAATCATTTAATAAAAGGTATACAATGTTGAAATGAAGAGTGTGCTTTGGTATAAGTTAAAATGTAAGACTTCCTATGAGGAGGAGACTGTGCAGGAACCAAAAGCAAACAGAACAGCTGGATTTCTATTGATAAGGGAGGTGTGCTCTCTTTTTAAGAGAATAGCAAATGACTCCCTGTGGATTTGGAATTCACTCTGTCAGTGTAAGGATGTGTCTTTGTGACTATCATCTCTTTATTCTTAAGCCAAGTGGAAAGAGAACAAAGCAGTCAGAAGAAACTGATAAGGACCTTTAACTGATCTGGGGAGTAGGGGGAATTAAGAAAACCAAACCTCAATTAACTCTTAAAGTAATTTTGTGTAGCAAGAGAATAGTCTGGACTCCGTGAAGCCGGAGGAAAAATCTCATTGAGCTCTTGTTACCAGTGGAATTTTGAAACTAGATGGGGGGGACTATCCTTGGTGGAATTTCGAGACTGAAGTGTGGGGACTATCCTTGGCGGGAGACCTTCTAACAGACTTATATTCAGGGTCAGAGAGAAGCCTTCCTACTCCATCTGGGAATAAAACCAAAATGTGATATATTTTGAAAGGTGGTAAAACTATTATATTTAGCCTGTGTATGTTTTCAATAAAATCTTGCGTAATGGGGGTATCATCTGAACATAGTGTTAAGCAATAGCCCTGTATGTGTTTTCATATTAGAAGAGGAACTTAAAAATGTGATAATCTATCTCTTGGTTAACCATTACTGTTCCTCAAGTCCAGTCGTTTGGACAACAAAACATTAGTCAAGGTAACACCAAACATAATTTACAGCTATGAAACCCAAACAAACAAACAATGACCAGAATGCTGAATTTGAAACCTAAAGCACTTACAGTGGGAACATCAAATCCAGCAAAGCTATTAAGCACGTGATTAACGGGCAACTGGCTTTTACAAGATTGACCTATTATTTTTAGATTTTCAGCGATAGGGCGCCTGGGTGGCTCAGTCGTTAAGCGTCTGCCTTCGGCTCAGGTTATGATCCCAGAGTCCTGGGATCGAGTCCCACATCGGGCTCCCTGCTCAGTGGGAAGCCTGCTTCTCCCTCTCCCACTCCCCCTGCTTGTGTTCCTGCTCTCGCTGTCTCTGTCAAATAAATAAATAAAATCTTAAAAAAAAAATCTTTAAAAAAAAAATAGATTTTCAGCGATAGTTTGCTAGAGCATACAAATGGTGATTTCTCTGTTTGATAAATCTACAAGTAATGACCTCTTTCAAGTGAGTCACACAACCTTTTCTATCTACAAGCATCACAACTGAAAATTCTGAGATCATTCTCAATATAACAAATATAAGGTATACTAATTTATTTACTTAATATAGTTTGGTAAATGGGGTGCCGGGGTGGCTCAGTCTGTTGGGTGTCTGCCTTCGGCTCAGGTCATGATCTCAGGGTCCTGGGATTGAACCCCTGGGTCGGGCTCCCTGCTCAGCAGGGAGTCTGCTTCTCCCTCTCCTTCTTGCCCCTTCCCCTCCACTCATGCTCTCTCTCTCTCTCAAATAAATAAACAAAATATTTTAAAAATATATTGTTTGCTAAATCCCGATACTGGCTGATTTAATCCATAACATTCCATATAGTTAGGTATCAAGGTTGGCTGCCAGATATGAACCTTCGGGCTTGGGAGTGATGAAGTGACCTTGTCTCCCTCCAAACCTGCCAGAACTGCTCATGTAGGCAACTGTTTACATTTTTAGTCCTCTTTATTTTATTTTTTTTTTTTTAAGATTTTATTTATTTATTCATGAGAGACAGAGAGAGAGAGAGGCAGAGGGAGAAGCAGGCTCCCAAGGATCAGGGAGCCTGATGTGGGACTCGATCCCAGGACCCTGGGATCATGACCTGAGCTGAAGGCAGACGCTTAACCAGCTGAGCCACCCAGGCGCCCCCACCTACACACCTCTTAAATGGAGATACTGTTTCCCTAAGTCCTGGAGACTAAAACCAACAGGGAAATATTAGCTCAGCTAGAAAAGCATCTTTCTTAGTTTCTAGACAGGATTTCTTCTTTGGTAGAGGGTCCTCACATAAAAACCAAAATTTGTTAATCCAAAAAACCTGGTGCAAGAGTTACCTGTTTGCACAGGCTTTTCCCCCAAGGGGAAGCTGTTTCCCCCAAGAAGAACCTGTTAGACTAGTTGCCATCACTCAATTAGAAAAGACATTCATGTGATACACACTTGAAACCTGTCTTTCATTTAACTCTCATCTCCTCATTTACCCCCCAGATAGAGACACACTTGCCTGCCCAGCTTTGTCTGGTTTGTGGATAGTTTACCAGGAGGAACTAAGGTTTCCTGGCACTCCAGTTCTGTTCTGGTGTTATTTCACTGTTCAAATTCTTCTGATTCTGCCACCACCAATCAGTCTGGGAAAATATATATCTGTGAGCTTGTAAATGCATGAGGCATCAGGCATATGCTTACTTTGCATGAATTTGGCTGAATGCTCTGATCTTATTCTGAGTATATGAATTTGATGCCAGTTTGTTTAAATTACACTGTGAGATTACTAACATTCTTCTCATGGCCCTAGAGCTCTTTGGGTTACTTAATAGCTGAATAGTATCTGAGGAGCATCATTATAATGCAATCTTTTTTTTTTTAAAGATTTTATTTATTTATTTGAGAGAGAAAGAATGAGAGACAGCACATGAGACCGGGGAGGGTGAGAGGGAGAAGCAGACTCCCTGCTGAGCAGGGAGCCCGATGCGGGACTCGATCCCGGGACTCCAGGATCATGACCTGAACTGAAGGCAGACGCTTAACTAACTGAGCCGCCCAGGTACCCATAATGCGATCTTTTTGTAAATACAGTGTTTTGTTGGTACAAATTGAGAAAACCTTAATCCCAAGTAAATTTCCCACCAGCCTGTCACAATACCTGAAATTCCACTATTAGGGACTCATATCTTTACATCTTGAAAGGAACTCAAGACACCTAATAGTGTATTTTTATGTGAGTGTATGTCTGTGTGTGCCTGCTTATTTCAAAATGTTAACAATTATCTGGAGATAGTGGGATTATTATTTTAATTTTCTTCATATGTTTCCCTATTTTCAAAAAATTCTACAATGAATACATACACTTTTCTTATCAGAAAAAAGTGCTTAAAATTTTTATACACTCAAGAATGGTAAATTTAAAGCGATTCTGAGCAAGTAGTACCTTACTGAATATATATTTCTCAAACTTTTTACCCTAATGCCAGGTCTCCAGAAGCCAGAAGCCTTCAGAAATAGGTATAAGATCCCAAAAGGAAGTAAATCCTCATATTGATAATGTTTTGTTCTTAAGCAGAACAGATATTCACATATTAATATAACACATTCTTTTGTACTCATTACACTAAAATTTTTTTATTTTTTATTTTTTATTTTTTTTAAAGATTTTATTTATTTATTTGACAGAGAGAGACACAGCGAGAGAGGGAACACAAGCAGGGGGAGTGGGAGAGGGAGAAGCAGGCTTGCCGCTGAGCAGAGAGCCCGATGCGGGGCTCGATCCCAGGACCCTGGGATCATGACCTGAACCGAAGGCAGACGCTTAATGCCTGAGCCACCCAGGCGCCCCTAAAAAATTTTTTTAAAGTAAAAAAGAAAATCCTGAGGGGATCCTGGGTGGCTCAGTTGGTTAAGCTTCTGATTCTTGATTTTGGCCCAGGTCATGATCTCAGGGTCGTAAAATGGAGCCCTGGGTGGGGCTCCATGCTTAGCACAGAGTCTGCTTGAGATTCTCTCTCTCTCCCTCTCCTTCTGCCCCTCCCCCAGCTCGATTGCACATGCTGGCTCACTCTCTCTCTCAAATAAATAAATAAAGTCTTTTTAAAAAAGAAAATCCTGAAAGGACTAAAGGTAAACTTCTATTTTCCCAGTATTGCCCAGGCCTGCACGGCAGGATTTGTGCAGAGGAACTTCTTTATAGATAATGTGGCTATATAAGAAGCATTTCTAAAAATAGTTTAGAAAACTAGAATGTGTAAGACATTACACGTTACACCTAATATGGACATTACCCACATTAGGCTAAATTAGACCCATATTAGGCTAAAGTTTACCCACATTTTATGGTAAAGTTTGTTTATTTAAAAAAATTTTTTGTTCTCTACCAGTCCCTGGTGATAGTTTAAACTATTGAAATTCTACTGAAAATAAGTTATGATGATAAGCATCATATGATATCTACTCACATCATATTTGTGCTCCTTTTCAATGTCAGGTAAATTTGGGGTTTTTTTGTTTGTTTCTTTTTAAGATTTTATTTATTTATTTAACAGAGAGAGAGAGAGAGAGTGCTCGAAAGAGCACACAGAGAAACGGCAGAGGGAGAAGGAGAAGCAGACTCCCCGCTGAGTAAGGAGCCTGATGTGGGGCTCCATCCCAGGACGCCAGGATCATGACCTGAGCTGAAGACAGACACTTAACCAATTGAGCCACGCAAGCACCCTCACCTTCTCTTTTTATTGTGTCTGTATGAGATTATGGATGCTAACTGAGTTTATTGCAGTAATCATTTCACAATATATGTAAGCCGAACCCCCTTCTGCTGTACACCTTAAATTTATATAGTAATGTATGTTAATTGTATCTTAATAAAACTGGAGAAAAATTAATCAATGGATATAAAGAAACTGAATTGTAATATATATTTAAAAAATTTTTTAATTTATTTTTTGACAGAGAGAGACACAGTGAGAGAGGGAACACAAGCAGGGGGAGTGGGAGAGGGAAAAGCAGGCTCCCTGCAAAGCAGGGAGCCCGACGCGGGGCTTGATCCCAGAACCCTGGGATCATGACCTGAGCCAAAGGCAGACGCCCAACGACTGAGCCACCCAGGCACCCCTGTAATATTTTTACTGTTTAGTAAATCTTCCCTATAAGACCCAAGAGGGCTGGGTCTATATGTATTTCACTTACTTAACACATTGCCTTACAATTAAGCCAACGCTCAACAAATATTTGCAAAAATAAATGAAAATACAATTGGTACTTCATTTTTTTAAAAAAGATTTTATTTATATATTTGAGGCAGAGAGAATGAGAGACAGAGCATGAGAGGGGGGAGGGTCAGAGGGAGAAGCAGACTTCCCACTGAGCAGGGAGCTGGATGCGGGACTCGATCCTGGCACTCCAGGATCATGACCTGAGCCGAAGGCAGTCGCTTAACCAACTGAGCCACCCAGGTGCCCCTACAATTGGTACTTTGAAGGGCAAATATCATTGTATGTGAATTATATCTTGAAAACAAGACAGAAAAACAAAGTACAATTGGTAAGGGCGGCATGCCAGGAACATGCCAGACTGCAAGCTGCATGAGGGCAAGGGACATGTCTGGTTTATTCACTACAATATCCCTAGCACAAATTTAGTATACATCTACCACATTGCTCGGGAAACATATGAGTAAAGGAATGGATGGATAAGTGAATGGAAGAGAGGTCACTTCTCTGTGAACATACCTGAAAATGGAATAGACAATTAGCTACTGTTGGAGAAATCTACCCTTTTTTTTTAAAGATTTTATTTATTTATTTGAGAGAGAGAGAGCACGAGAGGGGGGAGGAACCAAATTTAGGGGCGCCTGGGTGGCTCAGACGGTTAAGTGTCTGCCTTCAGCTCAGTTCCTGATCCTGGAGTCCTGGGATGGAGCCCCACATTAGGCTCCCTGCTCATCGGGTAGTCTGCTTCTCCCTCTCCCTCTGCCTCTCCCCCCTGCTTGTGCTCTCCCTCTCTCTGGCAAAAATAAATAAATAAATAAATAAATAAATAAATAAATAAATAAATAAATAAATAATATCTTTAAAAAAGAGGGAGAGAGAGAAAGTGGGGGAAAAAATTTTTTTTTCCTGTGATAAGAACTGTTAGGATCGTTTAATCTTGTATCATCTTTACTTATCACAATCAGGATTAATCAGAATTAATCTAAGTTTATACTGACTTTTCCCAAGATTGAAGGAGGATTTTAATCTTTTTGTTTTAAAGATTTTATTTATTTGACAGAGAGAGAGAACACAAGCAGGGGGAGTGGGAGAGGGAGAAGCAGGCTTCCCAGGCTTCCCTGGGATCATGACCTGAGCTGAAGGCAGACGCTTAACGACTGAGCCACCCAGGTGCCCTGATTTTAATCGTTTTTAACATGAAGTTTTTGTTTGTTTGTTTTAACTTTTAGCCTTTTCTTTATTAAGACGGATGGAATTCAGGTACCATAGTTTGAGCGCTTGGGAGTTTCCCTTATCACTAGGTATAGCAAGCATAGTTGCTATCTTTGTGAAGCTAGCATTCCAGCTACACCCAAACTTTAATGTGTGATCACCAAGAATCTTGTTAAAATGTGGATTGTGATTTAGTAGGTGTGGGTTGGATGGAGATTCTGCATTTCCTTTTTTTTTTTTTTAAGATTTTACTTATTTATTAGAGAGAGCGAGCGAGCGAGCATGAGCAAGGGGTGGGGGCAGAGGGAGAGAGAAAGGAAGAAGCAGACTCCCCACTGAGTGCAGAGCCCGATGGAAGGGAGGGGGTGGGAGAGCTTGATGTCAGGGGCTTGATCCCAGGACGCTGAGATCATGACCTGAGCTGAAGTCAGATGCTTAACCGACTGAGCCACCCAGGCACCCCCTTGGCATTTCTAATAAACTCACTGATGCTGCGCATGCTGCTGGTCCACGGGCCCTGATTTGAGTACAGAGTTAGGACCGTGTTTCTAGGAGAAGACCTGCTGAGGCTCTCCCTCAGATGTTTCTGTGTGAAGGCTGCCATGTCCTTTATTCAATACCACCTCTCCCCATCTTGGCAGCACCTCAGCCAGAACAAATCTCTGCTGCACCCACCCCCCAGCTTTCCAACTAGTTTCTTTTTCTTAAATCTTCAAGCGTTTGCCTGCCCCCAGCTATCTGACCAGTGGCCAGTTTCCCATCTCAGGAGAGGCCCTTTGTTCTGCTTCTCCTTGAGATGCTGCCACCCTCCCTCCTCCTGGGATAAGCATATCCTTTGTTTGTATTTATGGGCCATTAACTACCTTTATCTAAGAGATAAGAAAGATCAATGGAAACCAGCTGCCCTTTGTTCAGACTATTTCATTGACTTTGATATAAGCCTTCCCTTTACTCTCTGTTTTCATCCAAAGTTTACTGTTCACGGTATTTTATAAGTTTGGGAAAGGTGGTTACAGCTGAAGGCTTGTTTGGATCTTTGTTCAACATTACAATTCCTTAAGCTCTGGGGGCACTTGGGTGGCTCAGTCCATTGGGCATCTGACTTGGTTTCGGCTCAGGGTCGTGGGATGGGACCCCAGGTTGGGCTGTGCGCTGGGTGCTGTCTGCTTGGGTATCTGTCTCTCCCTCTCCCTCTGCCCCTCCACCCTCTCTCTCTCTTTCTCTCTCTATGAAAATGAATAAATCTTTTTTTTAAGATTTTATTTATTTAAGAGAGAGAGCACAAGTGGGGTGGAGGGGCAGAGGGAGAGAGAGAAGCAGACTCCCCACTGAGCAGGGAGCCCAACGTGGGACTCAATCCCAAGGCTCCAGGATCATGACCTGAGCCAAAGGCAGAAGGCACCCTGAATAAATAAATCTTTTAAAAAATTCCTTGGGGTGCCTGGGTGGCTCAGACAGTTATGCGTCTGTCTTCGGCTAGGGTCATGATCCCTGGGTCCTGGGATTGAGCCCCACATCCAGCTCCCTGTTCAGTGGGGAGTCTGTTCTCCCTCTCCCTCTGCCCCTCCCCCTGCTTGTGCTCTCTCTGTCTCTCTCTCAAATGAATAAATAAAATCTTTAAAAAAATAAAATAAAATAAAATTCCTTAAGCTCTGGGTGATTGGTAAAAATTTTAGAAGCCAATAGAGACTAGCCTTTGTGTTAGCTGTTTTAGTGCTACATAATTATAGACTTTGAGAGTAGGAAGGGGCTTTCAAGGGGTTTTAGTTCAATCTTTCATCTGACAGATAGGAAACAGAAGCCCATGGAGTTTTTGTACCTTGTCAAAAACTGGTATACTGAGTGACCACACTGTTTAAACTGTGCTCCATTAGGGGCGCCTGGCTGGCTCAGTCAGTAGAGCATGGGACCCTTGATCTCAGGTTGTGAGATTGAGCCCTGAGCCAAGCTCCATGCAGAGCCCCATGCCAGGCTCTGTGCCCAGCAGAGTCTGCTTGAGATTCTCTCTCTCCCTCTGCCCCTCCTCACTCTCTCTCTCAAATAAATAACTAAATCTTAAAATAAATAAGTGAATAAATAAATAAATAAATAAATAAATTTTAAACACTAAAAAAGGGGCCCCTATGTGACTTAGTCGGTTAAGAGACTGACTCTTGATTTTGGATCAGGTCATGATCTCAGGGAGATCAAGCCCTGCGTGAGGCTCTGCACTCAGTGGGGAGTTGGCTTGGGATTCTCTCTCTCCCTTTCCCTCTGCCCCTCTCCGCCTCCCTCTCAATAAAATAAAATAAAATAAAATAAATAAAAATAAAAAAATAAACTGTGCTCGGGGCGCCTAGGTGGCTCGGTCGGTTGAGCATCTGCCTTCTGCTCGGGTCATAATCCCAGGGTCCTGGGATCGAGCCCCACATCGGGCTCCCTTCTCGGGTGGGGAGTCTGCTTCTCCCTCTCCCTCTGTGTGCTCGCCCTCGCTCTCTCTCTCTCTCAAACAAACAAATAAATCTTAAAAAAAAAATTAAAAAACAAAAACAAAAAACAAAAAACTGTGCTCATGGAATAGTAAGGAGCTGCTTAGACCTGGCTGTGCTGAGATGTTTTTGTAGTACAGAGTGGATATGGAGGCAAAGGCTTCCTTCTCTCCATACCTCAACCAAAAGAACTCCATTTACATTTTCATCTGTTCCACATGCTAGACTTCCAACTTAGATCTTCTTCTTTTTTTTTTTTTTTTTAAGATTTTATTTATTTATTTGACAGAGAGAGACACAGCAAGAGAGGGAACATAAGCAGGGTGAGTGGGAGAGGGAGAAGCAGGCTTCCCGCCTAGCAGGGAGCTTGGAGCCCGATGCGGGGCTGGATCCCAGGACCCTGGGACCATGACCCGAGCCGAAGGCAGGGTCACCCAGGTGCCCCCCCAACTTAGATCTTAGTTGAAGAATGAGTTATATATCCACACAAAAAAATTGTTTTTAAGATTTTTTTTTTTTTTTAAGATTTTATTTATTTATTTGAGACAGAGAGAATGAGAGAGAGAGAGAGCACATGAGAGGGGGGAGGGTCAGAGGGAGAAGCAGGCTCCCTGCCAAGCAGGGAGCCCGATGCGGGACTCGATCCAGGGACTCCAGGATCATGACCTGAGCCGAAAGCAGTCGCTTAACCAACTGAGCCACCCAGGCGCCCTGTTTTTAAGATTTTTATTATTTATTTGAGAGAGAGAGAAACAGCATGAGAGGGGACAGGGTCAGAGGGAGAAGCAGGCTCCCCACTGAGCAGGGAGCCCAATGTGGGACTTGATCCCAGGATTCCGGGATCATGACCTGAGCTGAAGGCAGTCGCTTAACCAACTGAGCCACCCAGGCGCCCTATCCACAAAAAATTTTAAACCATTTTATTTCACCAAGCTGCCTGCCAATTAATCTTAATTTCATACCTACAGGTTAAAACAATCATATTTTTCTATTTCTGTTTTAGTTGTAGAGTCTGAG